GTCCTGTCCCGTCTCGTCCCATCCTGTCCCATCCTGTCCCACTGGTGTTGGTAGCTGTCCTACACCCATCCTGTCGGTGCTGGTGACACCACCATGCTGGTAGTGGTGTTGGTGATGTTGCGGGTGTCAGTGCTGGTGTTGGTGCCGTCCCACTTTCGGCTGCAGATGCAGGTGTAGGTGCTGAAGCTGGCGTTGGTGCTTGTGCTGGTGACACTACGGGTGCTGATGGCAGTGCTGGTGCTGTTGTGGGTGCAGATGTGGTTGGCGTGGTGGGTGCTGGCACAGTTGACGTGGTGGGTGCAGGTTCTGCTGGCAGTGTGGTTGGCACGGTGGTTGCTGGGTCCAGGGCCGTTGCGGTTGCAGGCATGGTGGGTGCAGGTGCTGTATCTGCTGTGGGTGCAATTGGTGTGGTGGGAGGGGGTGAAGTGGCAGTGCCTGGTGGTTAGCAGGAAAGGCTCCAGGGCCCCTGGGGGGGGAGGGGAAAAAAGCAGCTGACACAGTGGGTGCGGGTTCCAGGGCCATTGTGGTCAATGCGTGTGGTGCAGGTTCTGTTGCTGTGCTGGCGGCGGTTGGTGCTTGTGGTGAGGGCTTCACTGCTGTGGTGGCCGGTGCGGGAGGGGGTGGTGGCGGCGGGCTCTGCTGCCATGGTGTTTGACGTGGTGGGTTCTGTTGCCCTTGTGGTTGGCTCTGCTGCCTTTATTGTGGTGGTTGACATGGTGGGTTCTGTTGTTGTTGCTGTTGTAGTTGAGATGGTGGGCTCCATTGCTAACGCTGTGGCAGTTGACGCACGTGATCTGCTGCTGTGGTGGTTGATGTGGTGTGTCCTGTCGAAGTGGTGTTGACATGGTGGGCTCTGCTGCTGTTGCCATGGTGGTTGGCGTGGTGGGTTGTGTTGCCGGCACCATTGTGGTTGATGTGGTAGACTCCACTGTTGTCACGGTGGCAGTTGATGTGGTGGGTTCTGTTGCAGTGGTGGTTGACATGGTGGGCTCTGTTGCTGTTGCAGTGACTGTTGACATGGTGGGATCTGGTGCTGTGGCAGTTGACATGATGGGTTCTGTTGCTGTTGTGGTGGCAGTTGGTGCAGTGGGTTCCGATGCCATGGCAGTTGATGTGGTGGGTTCCGATGCCATGGCAGTTGGCACAGTGGGCTCCATTGTGGTGGCGGTTGGTGTGGTGGGTTCCGGTGCCATGGCGGTTGGCACAGTGGGCTCCGTTGTGGCGGTTGGTGTGGTGGGTTCCGTTGCCGTCGCTGTGGCGGC